CACTACGTGGCCACCATATTTTCTCCTTTGCACTCTGAGGGGGACAGTGAAGGGACTTGTGGTCCTCAACTACACCGCTAGATGCCACTAAATCCTACACAGTGGACCTTTAAGTGACAAGACGACCAGTGTGTCCTTACTTCCTGGACCTTCGGCTCCATATGGACCCTCTTCTTCAGGGCAAACGCTGGAGATTCTGGCACAGTTGGAGGCAGAACCTTCTTTTCTGGCAATCCCTGTTGACAGGAAGTCTTTTTTTAAACTACATTTATATGGAAATAACCTGAAGAAGCTTCATATTGTGTCAACACAATAAAAACCAACACCTTGTATTGGACACTGAACTCACCACTACTCCCTCCAGGATCTTTTTGGGTAGAGGGTGGGATTTAAAGGTGTGCTGCTTCTCTTCACCTTCCTGAGGCTTGGCGGCCTGTCTCTCCTGGAGTCTTTTCTCAATCTGCAGCTCAAAGCCTTCAGGTACAGTGGGCTCCTTCACAGCAGGCTTCTTTAGGCCCTCTGCGCTCTCCAAGATTTTCCGGTTCAGCTCCAGGGCCTTGAATTTAAACCTGTGATTTAACAGGTTAAACAGTTAATGGCCCTTCTGATACTAGGGGATGTATTCTGGCAGGGGGACAAATGCACTAGTGACCAATCCTGTGTCACAAGTTTGTTAAATGTTAGTCCAGAGGGTCTTGGATAGCTGATGGTAAATCAGTGATTTATGGTAAACAACATTTTCAATCAGTCATAACATCTGCCCACTCAGTAGGGAGGACAAATTCCAGTTATATAACAGGAACATTTTCCCTGTGCACACTTTGTCCATCGTAAGAGCAGAAAGTTGGTTCACAGTCAGTTTAAAGGCCCTACAAGGAACTCATTTTGTGTTGATTGTGAACACTTCTGCTTTTGTCCATTGATTTCAATGGGAATCCGCCACAGTAGCAGCCATTAATAGCTACATATCCTCTCACTATTGGTCTTGTTTGTTTATGCATGGCATATGGAGGCATCAGTATTCATAACTGGTTAAAACCTGCTTGTAGTAAGTTTAATAACGTTACAGTAAGCTGTGACACGTGACGGGTAAAGTGGGTTCTCACTTGTTTAGTTTGTCCACTTCTTCAGCCTCCAGGTCAGCACTGCTTTTAACAGTGGGTGGTCGGCTCCTCTTGAGGGTCATCAGGTGTGGGGTGTGAGGCTGGGTGAGCTTCAGGTGGTCACCCTTCACTGGGGATGGCCCTGACAAACACAATTATAAGCCATGTGATTCAGTTACATGCTTAAAGAAAACTGACAGTGAACACTAATCAGTGATACATACCTCTCTCCTGACACTTGCGGCTGCGCAGATGGTAGCGGTCAGGGGTTCGTTTCTCAAACTGCTCTATCTGCTGAGCCATGGGCACGTAGCTAGATTGTTCCTCCACTTTTCTCTTGTTGCCTGTCGACAGGTTGAAGGGTTTGGGCACTGTCGCACCTTTCATAGCCTTCGCCTTAAAGAAAAAGTAAAGTTAGGTTAAATTACAAAGTGTATTATACACACTTATGTTACAGGTTTTGCCATCACCTTTACGCAATTATAAAAAGGTAAAAAGTTTGGATTTGTTCCATGTTGGTTTTGATTTGTAGTTATTACAGCATGATCAATGCGCACAGAGGATTCACTGACACTTCTAACACTCTAGGTGACTATTGTGGTCTTGGTTTATCATTTGAGCTCCTCAGGCTGCAGTATATACACTTGAAGACTGCATACACAGAGTACTTACTGGTGAGGAGGGCCTGCGGAGCCGAGACATAAAGTCCACTTCCTTGTGGGCTGTGTTGGATGAAGTGGTTGCTTTAACGCGGTTGTTTGTGTTGAAGTGGAATTCTTTAGGCACAGTTGCTGATAGGACCATCTTCTTCAGTGGTGGATCTGAAATAACAGCGAGCTAGATTGTCTTTTGAGCAGTAAAGGCAACCTAAATGCCAACTTGTAGATCTCTTAAATGGTGACAGAACTTGTTAGCCAGTACAAGCACATTTTCTAATGGTTGGAGCTGTACAAGTTCTATCTTATAATATCTACTCACCACCAGCCAGAGCAGCTTTGTAGCTGGCTTCGTTCTTCTTGCGATG